CTTTTACGACTACTCCAGCAGCAGAAGCCCTCAAATTTATTATAGTAGAGAATGGCACGCGAGACCCATTTTTGTCATTCTGTTTCTTCATCTTCTTTCTCGATGACTAACTAGACCATGTCTTGACAGTCGTAAGCGTGAGGTCACACCAGTGAGGATCGCCCTGTCACATTAAGAGAGCTCGCCAGGGAAGTGAGAGTTGCGTTCACGGGGTTCGACCTCCGACAGCTCAACATGAAGGGTGGACATGGGCATAGTGGCTCACCGGGAAAGGGCGCCACGTTCGTCCACGCAGGCTCGATGGGGAAGGGCGGCACATCCACACGCTCAAGCGAACGGGGAAGGTGAAAGGACTCGAGAATGTCGACTAGAGAGGGTGAATAGGCATTTCTGAAATTTTATAAGTTAAAATGTGGAAGATGTTAGGAGTGGATTTCTAATTGCTTGGACATCCCAAATCAGAGTAAAACAACCTCTTAAATATAATTTAGTAAGAATACAAACGTTATCAAACAAGCCTAGAAGCTAAACATATGCAAACACAATTAATTAGAATAACAACTAACAAATTTCAGCACAGGGTGCAAACTGGACTGGTCCGGTGTGCCTACCAGACCGGTATGGTATTCATGGGCATAGCAAGTCCTCAGCTAAAACTTGTCTCTTTCAATTCAACTTTCACTCCATAGTTACTGCACCACCATCATATCCTCTGTGATGAAGATAGCGCGGTGAATCCATCCACAACAAGCGACCACTTCGTGCATCCGAGCCGGTAGGGTTAGGGGAATGGCGAAGTCACATGGTTGCAGGTTCAGTGGCTGCACAATCTCATCCTCTCCTGCTCGCAAGCCTCCTTCTAGCACCAGTTGCTGGATGAAGCATCGCCGACCTCCGCCCAACGCAACCGACCCCTAGCGGGTCAGCATCCTCAAAACCTCTGCTATCTATCAAAAAACACTCCCTCTCTTAGACTCAGCTTTTCAAAAATCTAAGAGTGGTTCAAAGGCGTGGTCAAAGTTCAAATGGAAAGAGAGCCCCTATTTATAGAGCCAAAGGCGGACTGTTTAGCTCGTGACTCCCAAGCCGTGTGGCAAACAATAGGAGGCCTTACCTAATGTTAGAAGCCTGTGTGAGGATGGGCAAATCGAGATCCTCCAAAAGACAGAGCCGGTACAGCGTCAACGAGACCACACGACTCTATTTGGATCTCGTACCCTCGCACGCGGCGTCCTAACTAGGGATGAAAACAGATCGGATACGAACGGATATCACTCATATTATATTTGTTTTCATATTTCTGTTCGGATTCGGATTCGGACACGGATAACGTTCGGATACATATACGAATACGGATTGACTCGGTTACGGATACGAATAATGAGTATCGAATACGGTATGAATCGAATTCGGAGAAGGTCGGATACAAATATCTATTCGGATATTGAGTAAAAGCAGCATATATATATATATATATCATACGTGTGCAAACTATTACACCACTCTATAAGTCCATAATCCATCTAGATTAAGCCGAAAGACTAAAGAGTAAAGCAACAAATAAGATAAAGATACAGATACATCATACATCAAACATCATATAAGTACCAATCTTCGTGGCATGAGTAGAAATAGCCAAGCACATTGCTTCATGGGTCTCATGGAGTCATGGTTATGGATTCAAGATCTACAATCCTTATATAGGCCATTTTTTTCATTTTGAGAAAGTTTGAACAAAATGTAGTTCAAATTTCACAAGTGTGTGACATAGTTTTAGAAAGTCTGTATGAGATTTAAGAATTTGTGACTAGTGTTTGATAAAACTTTCTCAAATGAGAAAATGAGCTATGTAACAATTGTATATCTTGCTGAGATGATCAAACTTGGTATTCAGAGTTTTTTCATCTGAGGTCATTTAGTGTCTCATTTGAGCAAGTTTGACCAAGTCAAATTTGGTCAAATGAAAAAACAACACTTTGACTCTAGTATTATGAACTCTAAATGACTTCAAATTGAAAAGTTTTGAATACCAAGTTTGTTCAACTCATCAAGATCTACAATTCTTGTTTTGGTCAACTTTCCATTTGAGATAGTTTGGACGGTTCAAATTTGTGATTTTTAAATTTCGATGCTTACAAACTAGTTTTCGGAACCCTAGATTGTCTCAAATTAAAAAGTTTTGAATACCAAGTTTATTCAGGTCATCAAGATCTACAATCCTTATATAGGATATTTTTCATTTGAGAAAGTTTGAACAAAATGTAGTTCAAATTTCACAAGTGTGTGACATAGTTTCAGAAAGTCTATATGAGATTCAAGAATTTGTGACTAGTGTTTGATAAAACTTTCTCAAATGGGAAAATGAAATATGTAACAATTGTATATTTTGCTGAGATGATCAAACTTGGTATTCAGAGTTTTTTCAGCTGACGTCATTTAGTGTCTCATTTGAGCAAGTTTGACCAAGTCAAATTTGGTCAAATGAAAAAACAACACTTTGATTCTAGTATTATGAACTCTAAATGACTTCAAATTGAAAAGTTTTGAATACCAAGTTTGTTCAACTCATCAAGATCTACAATTTTTGTTTTGGTCAACTTTCCATTTGAGATAGTTTGGATGGTTCAAATTTGTGATTTTTAAATTTCGATGCTTACAAACTAGTTTTCGGAACCCTAAATTGTCTCAAATTGAAAAGTTTTGAATACTAAATTTGTTCATCTCATCAAGATATACAATCCTTATATAGGCCATTTTTTCATTTGAGAAAGTTTGAACAAAATATAGTTCAAATTTCATAAGTGTGTGACATAGTTTCAGAAAGTCTATATGAGATTCAAGAATTTATGACTAGTGTTTGATAAAACTTTCTCAAATGAGAAAATGAGCTATGTAACAATTGTAGATCTTGCTGAGATGATCAAACTTGGTATTCAGAGTTTTTTCATCTGAGGTCATTTAGTGTCTCATTTGAGCAAGTTTGACCAAGTCAAATTTGGTCAAATGAAAAAACAACACTTTGACTCTAGTATTATGAACTCTAAATGACTTCAAATTGAAAAGTTTTGAATACCAAGTTTGTTCAACTCATCAAGATCTACAATTGTTGTTTTGGTCAACTTTCCATTTGAGATAGTTTGGATGGTTCAAATTTGTGATTTTTAAATTTTGAATAAATATCCAGATAATATCCGTTTTTAAATATCCGGATATATCCGATACTTATCCGGATTATCCGATATCCGCCGGATATCGATGATATTACATCCGTATTTGATATCCGTCTAAGATATCCGTTTTAATATCCGTATCCGAAAAAAAAACGGATATCCGAGTAACTATCCAGATAAGTATTCATATTTGTTCGGTCGAACGGACGGTCGAATAAATATCCGTACCGTTTTCATCCATAGTCCTAACACATCAGGGGTCGGTAGGGCAGGCATTCACCTCACCATCAAGGCAGCTTGATGGGATGGGATGCAACGTCCACCTACCGCATTGAACGTTTAACCGATAATGGTCGGAGCTCCGAGCTCGGACCAGCCACAACCTCGCCCTTGCATATGACACTCTCAAGAATCAGCGTCTCCACAATCATTCTAAGACTGCGAAGACACTTGGGGGGCTATTATCGGGATTAAGATACCCCGGGTATCTAAGGGCACCGATTAGTTAGCCTCTCGAGCAGCCCAACTGGATGAGACCCAGCAGCCGCGGTTCACCTAAGCCACGAATGCCCTGGCCCAAACGCCAAGACAAATGGTCCACCACAACCCCTCCCTTCTCCTTCCATTACACGTAGCCGCCCTCGACCTCTTTCTCGTCTCGACCCCCGGGGAGGGACAGAGAGAGGACGAACGCGGTCAAGTAAGTCTACTCTGACAGAGACATACACCCCCACTCACTCCGTAAGGATTGAAAGGACAACCATCTGAAGGCCAGACACCATTCTTGCACGTCCCTGCACGGACAAGACAACATCGCCAAATGGTGACGGCCGGTACGACACAACACCGTCCAAATCCAGCACAACAAGACGGGCGTACGGCCCCACCCGATGCGGGATGGGACGCGCGACCCCGGCCTTGATTTTAAAGACCGGCCAAGCCACCAGAGACCCCAACCTCACAGTCCAAGGTTGAAACCATCAACATCACGACCGGGAAAGGCGACCAATGACCCGGGAGTGGGTACCTGCTCCCACACTGTCGTTACGACGCCACCAGGAGAACAGGTGATGATGATGAAGGCCACGGCAAGACTACGTCGCGCAGGATAGTTGGTGAACCACCACCGTGTCAATAGTGCCGTCACGATCGACACTGTAGCATCACGCCATGCGCACGCCACGACGTGGGAGCAAGACCACGACGATGACCATACTAGAACGTGCGGTGACGCTAGGACAAGATAAGCTTGTTTGTAGGCGAAGCTTACTCCATTCTCTCTCCCTCAGGCTCACGATACTCAACCGGGAGAACCCCTCTCTATGTGTAACTGATCCCGAACTTTATATAAGGGCGACTATGCCTCTCTTCCAATGGGACGAACTCTCATTCGGACATTCATTCACCTCACTCCTACCTTTTTCTCTTAGCTTACCCAACCAATTGTAAGAACTTCAGAGCACTTAACTGAGAAACACGAACTCGAACCATCTTTGAGACTGGACATAGAGCTCTGGCCTAAACCAGTATAATTTTTATTGTCTTTGAAGACTATCGTCGTCTTTATAAAACAGCGCGATTTGTGTACAAATTCACTAATCGGTTGAAAAACACTGGAAAAAAGGAAAGACCTGGGCATCCGAACAAGAGCTCCATTCCTAGCCTGGGTAACAAACACGGTGCCGAAATCCAACGGAATCCCAATTCCGAATCCACCCACGGGCTCGCTCCCCGCCTAGTGTCGACCCCTCCGCCTCCCCAGTATTAGTCGCCCCTCCCATTGTTCTCGTGCTCTCCACCCGCTTCCCCGCAAAACCCTAGCTCCGCGACATGAACCGTGGCGGCGATCGCTCGGGTGGCCCCTCCAACGGCGGAGACCGCTCTGGAGCCCGGTTCCAGCGGGGTCCCTCCCGCTGGTCCGGCAGCGGCGGCGGCGGATTAGGGGGTAGCCCACCCCATCGCTACTCCTCCCGCGGCGCGGCAGATGGCGGTGGTGGAGGGGGCGGGGGCGGGGGCGGGGGCGGTGGCGGGAGGTTCCACCCCTACCGTGGTTCTTCCGACTATTCTAGCGGCGGTGGAGGGTACAGAGGCGGTGGTGGCGGCGGGAACGACTTCGGCGAGCAGAGGCAACGCTATGGCGGCGGCAACAGAGGCGGAGGCCGTGGGGATTTCCAAGGTTCGTTTCAAAATTATATGGTTCTTTGTTATGCAATGCGATTATTAGGGTTGTGCCAACCCAAGATGGGGAACTTGAGCTTGGTTAAGCGTAGCTAGGGAGCTCAAGCGTAGCTAGGGTTTTGGTGCTGATAGAAAGGCGTGTTTGTGACCTCCGATTATTGATGCAAATTCAATCAACTTCCTCGGAAGTTACTTGATAGAACTGACTAGTCAATTTGTGGACCTAACAAGTATGCTGAAGTTCAGAAAGCCAAGCAGGATTGAGATGCGTAATATGGTCATACCTGCATGTGCTGTAATGACAAAACCACCCAACCTTTTGAGTAGACTAGCTCCTTAGTGTTTTTGGATGTAGACAGTGCAGCTTGTCCAGGTTTTCTACATGTGAAGAGAGGGACATTCACAGTTCTCCGTTGATGCATGGTTAACTTTTGTAACACCATGTGTTCGGATTTTTTTCTTAGGTTTTTATTGATATAATAATATGTTGTAAATTTGTAGAATTTGCAATTTATAGTTTGGGCAGATATGTTTATTCCAACATTTGATATTGAACTACTTAGAATGTTGAAGTGTCAATTATTGACTAGTTTTACCATGGTCCCCAAACATCTCAAAACTTCACTGTCAATTGTCAACAGGTTTACCATTGATCCCCAAACATCCCCCAGACATCTCAAAAGTTCAAGTTAGAGTTAGATTACATAACTTTTATTTTAGTTTTCCCTTTTAACTTTCAAGCTTCCTATCCAATCCAACATTGCAAACATCTCAAAACTTCACTTCAATTGTGAATAGGTTTACCTTTGGTCTCCAAACATCCGTCAGACATCTCAAAACTTTAATAGTTAGTCAGGTTACTTAGCCTTTATTTAGTTTTTCCTTTTTAACATTCAAGCTTCCGTTTCAATCCAATGTTATACAGCAAATATATTGGTTAGCCCTGTACATGGTTTGGTTACAAACCGGCCCAATCCAGAAACCAGCCCATCATAAACCGTTTTTAGAGGCCACGCACGGGTTGGCTTGGTTACGGTCTAAACCGCGGCACCCGTCGTCTTCTTCGAGCAACAGCCGCCGCCGGCAGTGTTACGGCGACGAGGGGTGCGATGGCGCTCTGATGGTGGTGAGGGTGGGCGCGGCAGTGATGCTGCTGCGGAAAGACGTCAAGCAGTCAGCCACCATCTTCCGCCGCAACATGTGCCACATCCGCAACTGGCTCGAGGAGTCCGCCGCCGCCGCCGCCAAGTAAGTAACGAGAAAGAAGACGCTCAAGGAGAGAAGGTCGGCTGTGGCCGCAACAGAAATAGCGGAGTCGCTGTCGCCCCCTTCGTCCTCGATCTTCCAACAGTAGCGCAGCCACGTCGTCCTCGGTGGCTTCGTCATCGCTGTGGGGATGGCGCCGCAGCAGCAACGGCGATGGCGCTGCCGTGGTGGCGACCAAGCACTGCCGCGATGAGCTATGTTGTAGAGACCTGCTGGGGTGGAGCTAGTGCGCTGCTGTGCTGCTGCCATCGCCACCGTGGGAATACTGCTCGAATTGATGGATCGCAACGAATTGAATTGAACCCGGTGGAAACCATGAAACCCGCAGCTTCCGAACCGCTGGACAGCATCGTTTACGGCTTGGGCTGGGTTTTGCCCAAAGACCAGTTAAACCGGACCATGTACAGGGTTAATATTGGTAAAAATTTTGTTGAATTTATCATTCCATGGTAGGAATACCATATGGAAAAGTGCTGTATGTGATTGAGCTTAAGTGGAAATAAATCTTAATCCTAATCTCTTACCCTGTCTTTGTCAAATATTGATATTGCTCTTGAAAGTTCCTGCAGATCATGATAGTAGAAGTAACTATGTCAAACTTTTTGTCGGATCTGTTCCAAGGACAGCAACTGAAGAAGACGTGAGCATTACTTCCATGCTACTATCTTCTCTTCTTGCATATTATTTTTTTTATGTTTTGCTAGCATCTTTATTTTTTAAACATTATTTCTCCTTACCTGATATCATTTTATTTGTACTTATGTATGATGTTGTGTTACCATTGTGTATCACTGTGCACAAAACAAACTAGAAGCTTCTAACTAAGGCCCTGTTTAGATCCTATGGTCTAAAGTTGGCTAAAGTTAAGGACTAAAACTTTAGACCATTTTAGCTCACTTGTGTGGTCTAAAGTTTTTGTGAGGATGGCTATACTTGGATAACACTTTAGACCTCCTGTTTGGAGCCTCAAGAGCCTTTAGACCATGGGATCCAAACAGGGCAAGTTCTCTAAGGTATCTTATACAAGATAAAAGATGCAAAAGCTCTTTTTGTCATATATATCAGCTCATAGATATACAAATTTAGTGTGAATTCTTGGATTTTTAGGATCCAGTCAAAGCTGCATCAAGACAATCATTTCTTACACCTTTTCTTGTCAGCTCCAGCCTCCATGATGATCATTGTGTTAGTTATTTTCTTGTTTGGCTAACAAGTTGAATCTTGAATAAAACTATCAAATATGCATTTTTTCTGTGCTTGTGATGCCTTATTTTTCTGTTATTTAGATTTTTATTGTATTGTTCAGTTTGTGACAGATTCTTGTGTCTTCAGGTTCGGCCTTTATTTGAGGAACATGGAGATGTTCTTGAAGTTGCTTTAATTAAGGATAGGAAGACTGGTGAACAACAAGGTGTGCTAAGGCTTTGTTTTTCTTGTATTATCACAATCGAGTATCTCTTTTGTTTTCAGGTTTCTAAGAGGTTATAGGAGCAACAAGGTTGCATCTTCTCTCAGTTAGATTGGCGGTTGTTGATTTTCATTTCCTGTGCTTCCATTCTGTTCGTCTCCTGTGAATTCAGTAGAAGACTAGAATGGAAGCGACTAACTGTCCGCTGATTACTGCAACCTAACTAGCCACAACTCTACTGCTACACAAGGCAGCAAATTTGGTACCAAAAGCTGTGTTTAGATGATATTGATCTTCTGGATGCTCTGTAGTTCTAGTAGCAATGAGGTTGTAGTTTCACCTTTGCATCTGTGCCTTGATTTTGTTGCAAGAACTTATATAACCTTATAATGAATCAATACAAAACTTCCCCTCCTTGCCTCATGGTTTAAGATTTATTATCCATGTAATCATGAATTGCATATGATGTGGAATTCCTTAATGTGAGTGACTGAATCCCTCGATACACGAGTTATTGGATGATGCGGTATAGCTGCATATTGCTGTCACAATTGATGGTGGCTGGTGTGTGTGGTGTTGATGACCTTGTACTGTTTGGAAATCGTGTGTTGTGCACCATCATTCTAGATTCATCTGATTCGATGGGTACCAATATTGTCATGGGTGGTCTGGAAACATGTTCCTTGAATATTATAAATCTTGTGAGTTGTGGCTTTGACTGATATGTTCTTGCTATATGCAATTTGTGGATATTTGAGTGTGAATTTTGGATGTGCTTAGTGTTTCCCTGACTGGATGATGTTGCTTCACACGACAACGGTTATGGTGATATTTACTGTTCGTGTGAAATATCTACACAAATGCAGTCTTTGTAATAATTCTTCCAGCTAGTTCCCAATGGTGCTTAAAGTTCTGTAACTTGGAGCTGAATGTTGATGACACATGATGATTTACCAGTGCTGTGCGTCTTGCATCTAATGTAAGCATGGTCACTTAGCTAATGACGCTTCATCTGCTCTGTGTGATGATTGTCACTCAAAAGTGCTTGGCCAAAGTGCTTGGCTTGCAGAATATTATCCGTGTAACCGCTGTCTGTGAAGGGTCAGTGTTAAGCCTATTCTGGATTGGATCATTTGACATGCAGCTGATGAGAATGCACCAGACTCTTCTATTGGTCTTTGTTGCTGCTGCTTATGTTATCTTAGGGAAAATTGAAGCTGAATACTGATTCTGGCTGCATTACTGTGATACAAGTGCACATCTGGATTTCAAAGCCTTCATCACACATGATTTGATTGCCTTTAATGTGAATCAATCTGCTGTTTGAAATCATATGGTTGATGCGATAGATGGATGGAAACTGTTGCTCATTATTGTTGGTGTACTTTCGTGCTAAGCAACTAGTAGTGGATCCTGTCTTCTGACAGATTATACTCTCATTTACTGGACTAACTTTATACTTCTACCTAAAGGGTTACTCATTGATGCTATCAGATGCTGGTTGAATTGGCATCGCAGTTGATTTGATCGTTTTTTTTTCATGCGTACTTATATTAATTAATGTGCATTGGCTGCATTATATAACCTTTTTTCCCAAAACCTTTTGGGTCATTGGCGCAGCCTCTTATTATATCATTCTTTTGCATGAGTAATTTTCCGTGTTTTATCTAGACTATTTGAGCATTATTTACCATGCACTTCACAGTTTTTTCATCTTCTATTGAATGCATCATCAGATGCAGCTATAAAAGCGTCACCGTGGAACACCATATATAATTTAGTTATTTTGCTTGTTCAAAGGCCATGCCATTTTGATGGCTTGTTATATTTATATATGTATATATATTTAATTCAATATATACACCAGATATCAGCTTGTTGTGGTGCCTAGTTTAATTGCCAGTGCTGCTGTGTTTCACTTTTATCAGCTTATTGAAGCTTGCCTTTCGGCAATTGCTATGCTAGATTATTACTTACTGCTATCAAAATATGCTGTATGAGGATGATGATGATGGATCTTTGTTAATGCTTTTTACTGTATTGCATATACTGGGAGCATGAACCCCCTCTAAACCTTCTGCGGTTCAACCCAAGCAACCTTCTTGGACATGTTGATGGCCAGTTTCTTATAACTTCGACACCTGATATTTGTTGCTCATTCTGTGACATTTATTTATGAGTATGACTACTTATAGTATTTGCAATTTTGGTGCATCAGTGCTATGTTAAGGCCCTGTCACCATTTGCATTTTCTGCACAAAATGTCATCCTAAGCGCAAACACAATTCTAACTATACCACAGCTGGGTTCAGATATCCTCGAGCTTTTTGATGTGTGAAGAGTGCACTTATTTTCTTCATTCCATGTAATATTTGGGTGTCACTAAAATGTAGTGCAACCAGCTGTAGTGTGTAAAATTGATGTACCTGATGTTCTATATTTTAGGTGTAACTTCTAAATTGAGGAGACCGTCGGTGTTGCAAATACAGGGCATAGCTTAAATTGAAATTGTGACATGTTCTGCAAAGTCTTTATATTTTTGTACTCTTTTCATGCTTTAACACTCCTGAATGGGGCTTGCTCTTGAACTGTGAAATGGTCTTGGTTGTTTTTCTTGATTGTTTAGAACAAGTATATATATATATATATATATATATATATATCAGATCACAATGAGATATACAGAAAATAGTATCTGACTGAGTAATTTACATTTTGTGCATTCCCAGGTTGTTGTTTTGTTAAATATGCTACTTCTGAAGAGGCAGAGAGGGCCATCAGGGGTCTGCACAATCAGTACACTTTACCTGGAGTATGTATCTTGTAAGCTATTTGTTAAGCTCTGTTCTTTGTTTGCAGATTATTGACTGTAAATCTGTTTATGTTCAGGCGATGGGCCCTATTCAAGTTAGATATGCTGATGGTGAAAGGGAACGGCATGGTAATGCTGTGATCTTCAGTAGTTTACCTATTAATGACCTGTGTGCGTTGCATGCTATACTGGTTTTGAGGCAACCTTAACAGTCCTACCTGCTCTATATGCTCAAAAAGTGCATATTCAACACTAGTTTTCCCCCCTTGAATATGCAGGAGAGATGCATACCCTTGCATTAATAATAAGAAGAAAGGAGAGTACCACACACACACACCACACCCATAGTCCCACACACAAATACATCTACATAGTGCCAGCTTCTCTAAAATTTAGCACCATACCTTTACATGTCACTTATCACAGAACATTTTGTTTGTTGTAGCATACTAGCATGTAGAGACGAATTTATTGTGCTTTCCCAATCTTGTTTTTACGTTTTACAGTTACACGTACATGTTTCTTGATCAATTTACAAGTGACTTCTATTCTGATTCTGCATTTTTTTCTCTATCTGAAAAATACTATTCATTTAAGGATTCTTTACTGTTTTGTTCTTGTAATCTGAGTTATATAATCATATTCAGAAAGCAAACTGTGCTTGGTTCGTTAAATGATAGTTGTTTTTCTTCAGATCTTTTATTTGTTGTGCTTTTTGGGCAATTTCATCAGTTTTTGTGACAAATTTGCTAGGGGCCACCGAGCACAAATTATTTGTCGCGTCCCTCAATAAGCAAGCAACTCCAAAGGAGATTGAAGAGGTAAATGGGTTGAACTTCTTATTTTCCTTTTTGTTCCTTGACGATTTAATGATTTGCTCATTTGAGAGAGTGTATGATTTAAAAACTACTGCTCGGTGTCCATAATCAACCTGTGATACTGTATTCTTATCTGCATTTGAGGACATGATTAAGACAAATTTAGTAGCTCGCTTTTCCAAGGATTGATGATAAAAGCATACATTTTTCAGATATTTGCCCCATATGGTCATGTGGAAGATGTTTACATTATGAGAGATGGCATGAGGCAGAGCCGAGGTTTATGAATGCCTGTTTGCTTTAGTTATACTCTTCCATTCCAACCTTTTTGTTTTAACTTGTAATATATGTAATATAAAGGCTGTGGCTTTGTCAAATTCTCGTCAAAAGAGTCAGCAGTGGAAGCTATGAATGCCCTTAATGGGACTTACATAATGAGGGTAAATTTCTCTGCCAACTGACATATTGTGTGTATAGCTTTCTGGATATTTATGATGTATTTATTTCTGTATTAGGGGTGCGAGCAACCATTAGTCATTAGATTTGCTGATCCTAAGAGGCCTAGACCTGCAGAATTGAGGTGATTAACAACTGTGACTATGTTTCTTTGTTACATAGCATATGCTATTTTATTTACTTAAGTATAATCATTACCATTTCTGCTTTCTGATTTACCTTACTGGTTAGGGGTGGCCCTGCATTTGGAGGTCCTGGTTTCAGTCCTCGATCGGATGCAGCACTTGTTATCAGGTTTGAGTTCATTACTTATTCAGTAATTTTTTCTCAAGAACAATTAAATTAAGTAGGTAATGAGATGAAACAGGCATGGTCTCTCTTCTCACATGAGTTGTTGATGCTAAGGGCATCTACTGAAGTGCATTTGTGAAAACCAAATGTTAACTCTAGAATAACACAAGAATAACACAGTAGCTCTAGAATAATCTGCAAAAGATGTTTAAAGTAGGATAGATAAGGTATTATGATATATATAGACAACAATGAAATGTCTGAAAGTGAAACAAGTGCTAGCTTCTGTGTATTTTCTGCCTTACAGAACCTGTTTAATAATCAATTGAACTAATTTCTTAATCATAGCTTCTGCTCCTTTTTTTTATATATACATTTAAGACAAGCTAGTAGTTTATTCTCGAACTAATTAGCTTATCCAAAAGGCCTAAATGACTAAATGTTTTATATTTAAAAATGGACGGAGTACATGGAGAAGTTTATCAGTTCATCGGAGGTTTCTTATTGCTATTCATTATTTATAATTCAGGCCAACAGCCAATCTTGATGAATCAAGGGGTCGGCATATGCCTCCTGAATCTTGGCATCCATCAAGTCCAAGGTCAATGGCACCCAACCAATATAATAATTTTGGATCTGACAATCCCTTGGCACTAAGTGGTGGCACTGTAACATCAGCAGATAATGTATGTTTCAAGTCGATCCTTCATTACGGTTTTACTTTTGTTTAGTCTATTTCCCAACCTTTGGTTCCAAAACATGATAGGCTGCTTTTCGGCCTCCGATGTTCCCTGGAAATGGTTCCTTGTCAAATCAGACAGCTGTGCTGACTTCGTCACACATGGTATAATTTGGAATATTATTACTTCCTTTTATCTAATGATTTTCCTTTAATGGAAATTGTTATGCCATAGTGATGGGGACTCTGCTTTTTAGGGCATGAACGCTCCCATGGTACAAGGGCACCATCTAGGAGGCCAACAGATCCCAACCTTGCAAAAGCCACCTGGTCCACCACAGAATTTCCCTGTACAACTGCAGAATGCTCAGCCAGGACAGCCTCTGCAGGGGCCTGTTCCGCAGATTGGGCAACTTCAGGTCCCACAATCCACGGGACCTGTTTCATTTGGCCAGAATATTTCATCTATGCAATTACCTGGCCAACCTCCTGCATCACAGCCGTTGATGCAACAGAATGCTTCTCTAGGTGCTTTACAGGCCCCTCCATCTGTACAGTCCAATTCAATGCAAGCTGTTCCTGGCCAGCAGCAACTTCCCACCAGTGTTGCTCCCCAAATGCTCCAGCAGTCGATGCAGCAGATGCCTTCACAAGCACCACAGTTGCTGCTTCAACAGCAGGCAGCTTTGCAGTCTAGTTATCAATCTTCACAGCAGGCGATTTATCAGCTTCAGCAACAGCTACAACTAATGCAGCAGCAGTCTAACCTAAATCAGCAACCCTCTGCACAGGTTCCTAAACAGCAGGTAATTTCCTCATAGCTACAACATTAGACAGCAACTTATGATACAAGACCACTCTGCATTTATGCTTCCCTTGTTGCTACCTTCCATTGTCACCATATTCAGTTAAAATGCATTCAAAGTTTCTATGTAATTCTTCATTTTCAGTCTGGGCAGCCAGTGCAATCCAGTAACCCTGGTGCTCCGGGTGCCATTGTTCCGATAAACATTAACGCAACTCCGCAGCAGGTTGGTTCACCTGCAGTTTCTTTAACCTGTAACTGGACAGAGCATACCTCCCCTGAAGGTTTTAAGTACTACTACAATAGCATTACTCGAGAGAGTAAGGTGAGGAATGATTCTCATCATGTTAATTTTAGCCAAATTTTAGCCAATTTTGTGGTTTATTCCTATGAGCTACTGTGTCCCTGCAGTGGGAGAAGCCTGAAGAGTATGTGCTGTATGAGCAGCAGCAGAAACTGCTTTTGCTTCAACAGCACCAACAAAAGATTGCTGTACAGCAACTGCAGTCACCGCCACAGGGTCAATCACTTACATCCATGCAACCGATTCAACAGCTTCCCCAGGCACAAGGACAAACACAAATGCATATGAAACAGCAGGTGCACATTCTGTTCCGTCATAGTTTTGGTTTGTGGGATATTATTTTTGTTCCAGATTGCAATCTATAGTTTTATGTTGGTATTTTGCTTGTGTCCAGATATGCTTAAAAGAGATCTCTTGGATGAACTGAAGTTATTCAAATGCATTCTCCTTTTTAGCATTTTTCTCACTATAGTTCACATCCTATATATTCAAATTGGTTGCTTTTGAATTTCATGTAAAATTTTATTTTACTATCTTCTTTTTCAGTGCTCATAGTATAAAAGAGGATAAGGATATATCATTTATATGTATTGAGCCGTCAGCTCTTATTTTACTCTCTTTTAATTGTCAGTTCCGGAAACTTTGCCCTTGGCCTTTGTTTTTCTTTCTTATGGCGTTATGTGTTATTATATAATAAAATTTGTGATATTCTAAATTTATGGATCTCAAACTTTTATGCAGGAATTAAATTATTCCCAATTTCAGGCAGCTGGTTCCATTGATCCCAACAGGATTCAACAGGTACTCTAGTTTATTCCGTTATCTAAATGTGTGCTGTGACTACTTTATTCATATTCCCAGTCATGCCGCTGATTCTGGTGACATAATGTAGGGCATTCAAGCTGGGCAAGAACGTGCTTGGAAAAGTTAAAGCTGCAGGTAATCAGAATCATTGTTCTTCCTTCAGACATCTGGGGATGTTCCCGTTCTCATTATCTGTTATTTGAAACTTTTGTTTTGCTTAACCAATTGGTGCAACAGTCACAAACAATGATGTACTTTAGATCATAACATGTTACCAAAAAAAGAAAGAAAAAGAAAATATTCCTAATGTTTTCCTTTTCTGATCTTGATAGGATGCTGATCAATGAATGCATTGTGTTTTTGGCTCATACTTTGCTCGGACTTTTCCCTCCATTTTCCAGGTCGCAATAATAAAGCACTAGTCAAGACTCAGGAAGTGAACAAAGCCCTTGTGATTACCAACTGTAGGAGCAGCTTTTGTCTAGTGCCTCCACAGCCTGTCGCCCATGCCGATCAGTGTAACATCGGATTTAGATTAGACTGATACGTAGATGGTAGATCCTGTATGTGTACATTGTTGCAACGTAGGCCATGTATTCCGTGTTGCCGATTCACCATGCTGGTGTCCGTACGCAGGAGTTGCTAGATGTCATCACTTGTGTTTTCCTTATGATTGTGGCATGATTTGTGATGTTCGGCGCGATGTGTGGGCATTACATTTGACGCTCTGGTTGTTTTGACTCGCTGTGTGCTGCTGATACAAGTTACGAGGAACCATGCTATTGACTTGCTGTCCATTTCTGGGAGCACGCGGTAACATTTGACCCATGGGGCTGTCCATTTCTGGGGTATCTCTTACTATACGAATCCTGCACCAGAAAACGGGCCAGTGGATTGTGCCATCATCTGTTAACCTATTAACTGTAGGATCAAGCAATCGCACTGCGTGGACCGTTTGATCCCGAGCATTGCGGGTCTAGTATCCATTAAGCTATGCTTCTTACATGGTCCCTCTTTAAGGTCCGATCGGGTGGCACCTTGTACCTTGCCGACCACCAATCCCTCTTCTGGTCTTCCTAGGGGACGCTTAAGGTCCGATCGGGTGGCACCTTGTACCTCGCCGACCACCAAGTTTTCTCCTGCACGTGGGCTGGCAATCTGCCCCTGTTCCACTCTCGTGCATGTGCCGAGCTTGCGCGCACTCGTGATTCGTTCAGAACTCTCCCACTTCCGTGAAACAAATGCTCATGCGCGAGAGTGGAACGCGGTACACGCTGCACACGCACTCGTGTTTTATTTTTCATTTTCCCTTCTTCTATATATTCGCACACGCACTCGTGTTTCATTTTTCATTTTTCCTTCTATATATTCGCAGCACACGCACGGAATTCTGCTACTTCCGATCCGTCCCTTCTGGTCTTCCTCGGGGACCACCAAGTTTCCTCCTGCACTTGGGCTAGCAGTCTGCCCTGCGTTCCACTCTCGTGCATGGGCCGACCCGCTCCGCGGCTTGCGCGCAATCGTGATTTGTTCGGAACTCTGCTACTTCCGTGGAACAAATGCACACGCACGAGAGTGGAACGCGGCACACGCACTCGTGTTTCATTTTTCATTTTTCCTTCTTCTATATATTCGCACACGTAGCACACGCACTCGTGTTTCATTTTTCCTACTATATATTTGCATCACACGCACGGAACTCTGCTACTTCCGATCCGTCCGCTTGTGTGCACAAAAATGAAAAGGAGAAATAATATTTATTATAAAATAGAAAAAGAAAAAGTAGTATGCATGAAAGGTTGAAACTCAAGACCCATAGATTGAGAAAGTCATTCTTTACCACTACACCATGTAACTGCCTTGTTTAAGTTGTGAAAATTTATATTAATAAACAATCAAACCATTTAAGTCAAAGAAAAAAGTGTTCCACTTTTACAGAAATAATGTTCCATACCAAAATATAGTATTGGATATCTCATGAAATATAAAAAAGCTACTGACAGAACAAAATATGAGCAACCAAAAATAGCGAGTTAGAAGGTCAAACACGAGACATTGTATTTAAGAATATCCTTCTCCATCCATTGCCCCTTTACACGTTATCAATTAGATATAAAACATTTCCATTACTGCACCTTATCAAATCAATTAAGTCTGAGAAAAATATTGTAGACAAAAAATATTCTACACCAAAAAAATATATTCTAAAGCAAAAATATGTTGTGGGACATCTCATGAAAAATGGGAAAAAACTATATAATAGGAAAAACAAACAAGGAAAAAGGAGAAGACAAAGTGAAAAAACCCAAAGAATGGTTGAAAACAATAAAATAATAATCAAATGTAAATAAATGGAATGGAAACTCGAATATAATATGAAATAGCATACATAAAAGAATATAATAAAAAACACATAGAACTTCATATCGATATTACTAGAACAACATAAAATATACCATAGAACATCTCATGAGTACTACATAAATACTCAAAGAAAATCATGGAACATCCCATCTATACTGCATGAAAATTATGAAAATACATCATAAACAATTATATGTAAACAAGACATATGGGGAAACATAAATAATAAAAATAAAAAACATGTAATACAAAATAAAAATGAACATCACATGGATAACACTTGAATGGACTAAAATATATCACAGAACATCCCACACATCATAGAACATCACGTGTATAATACGTGAACTGTGAACATCACATATATCTCATGGAATGTAGATTTAAAAAAAATGATAATAAAAATAAACTACTTAACTAACATAAGATAACGAAGAAGAAAAACTAAAAGTCTAAACAAATTATAAAGAACATCACATGTTACTGCTTGAACAATTTAAAATATAATATATAACATATCACAGGTATTATGTGAACTCTCAAAAATAATTGTAGAACATTTCGTTTATGCTAGTTGAACATCTGAAAATACATCACAGAACATCACATATGTATTACGTGAACATTACAAAATACATTATAAAGCATTCCATTTATACTACTTAAAATATCACAAAATACATCATTAACACCAGATATATACTATGTGAACATTACACGTATACGACAGGAACATCACATATATTAGATGGGATTGTCGGTGCGGGACCCACGGGATACCCCGCAAGGAAGGGAGAAGATCTAGTCTAACTAGGATTTTTTCCATGTAATCTTAGTAGTAGTATTATTCTGTAATCCTACTAGGAACTCTCATTGTAAACCGACTAGGATTCTGGCCTTCTGACTATATAAAGGAGGACAGAGTTCCTAGAGACGGGACGACTTTACGACGACTTGACGACACGATACTTCACAATCAATCCAACGCAAAGGCTAACGTCGACTAGACGTAGGGCTATTACTCGATCAACGATCGAGGGTCCGAACCAGGATAAATCGACTGTCTCTTGCGTTAACCGTCAAGTTTCGCATACGCTGAGGCCCGAACATACTGCCCCGGGTACCCCCGTGGCAGGCTATCAGTGGTAAAACATCGACAGCTGGCGTGCCAGGTAGGGGGTTTCGGCGAATTTGCATCCGAGAGCTCGACGGATCTCGACAACATGATCTTCTCGACGGGATCAACCTTCATTTTTGGCTCATGGATCTGTGAGGCGGACGACAATGGCAAGCTCCAAAGCCATCTCCTCGAAGATTTGGATCACCCTGAAGATCATTCTATTTCGGCGATTACGATAGATCAACTCACTGGAAGATTCGCGCAGCTCGCGATGTCCGATTCAACTTAGATTTCGCGACTTTACACATCCGACTCAAACTCAGGTTCCGCATCTGAAATGGAGTCTTACCCGAGTTCTTCCGAGAAACCGAGTTCTTTTCCAATGGGACTTAAGAACGTGGCCTTGGCCTATCCAGAATATAACTCGGAGTACAATCAGAGTCTTTTCAAGAAGTTGGGTCTTTTTTCGTTCAGACTCCACAACACGGCAACATCTTATCAGGCATGGCCTGAAGGATCCCTTGATTCGGTGCTTAGAATTCCACTGAAAGGAGCTCAGGAAGGTCTGGTACTGACTATAACATCTCAAGACTGCATCATCCACTGGCCAGGTTCTGTTCCTGAAGATAGCGGTACCCGACTAGTCGACACTACGACAACAACAATTCTACCCTACCAAGAAGGGGACTCGATCTACGACCTTAAAGCCTCTACTAAAGTTATCAACTACTCCGACAGTGTGGGAACCGACGCCAATAGCGGAACAATTCACGCACGAGAAGTATTCATGGTTCGCCGTCCTCGATCACCATTGGTCCCCCCAGAAGCGCTCGTCGTCAGGTCATCGGATGAATCTGAGTCCAACATATCACACTTTACCCAGGGGCACGATGGTGAGACCGAGAATCAGAAGCAAGCCAGAGAAAGGAAAAACAAGTTGAAACAAGGACGCCAACACCGTGCTAGGCAGCGCAAGGAAACTTGGATCAGATATGAGTCAGATCTGGCCGAGTACAATAGAAGAAAATTATAACGAGAAGTCGAAGAAAGACGCAGGGCAAATACACCCTACGATAAGATCCGAGAAGCACTAGAAGAACTCAGAGCGTCCTCACATCCCAGTGAAAACAAGAACAGCTCCGGGATTTTCTCCGGTCAACAGCCCTGAGGACGCATGAAGGACCCGCTCAAGACTACCCGCCAGGTCAACGTCTCATAGGCAAGAAGATCAAAATCAAAGAAAGTCCGCTTTCGAGAGACTTGGACCAAGTAGAAGTCATAACAGAGAAAGTAGAAGGGACCATAGTCAAAGCTACCGAGTCGAACAACCAAGAAAGACCAGAAGCAAAGCACCTGCTCAGACAGCCTCGCAGAACTACTCTCACCAAAACAATAGTTAGCCAGAAGGAGGTGCCGAATCAGAATACAAAGAGGCCGGAACGCACGATAGATTCCCCTGTTTTGCAAACAGACTTGCTTCAATATGACTACCTCACAAGTTCAAGCCGTCCAACCACTCTAAGTATGATGGCAAGACTAAACCAAGGCAGTGGCTCAAGATATACTCGCAATCGATTGAACTAGCCAGAGGAGACGACGATATCAAGACCCTGTTCTTTCCCATGGCCCTAGAAACCATGCCCCTCCAATGGTTCGACAAATTGAATCCAGGGTCAATCAGAAATTGGGAGGACTTGCAAAGAGCTTTCTGTGAAAATTTCACGGGTATCATTACGCATCCCATCACCCATGCAGAATTAAAAGGACTCAAGCAGAAAGGGGGCGAAAGTCTCAGAAATTACTATCGACAATTTGACGAGCTACGTGCTCAAGTACATGACATCACCGAACGAGAAGTTATCGAAGCTTTCTCTCACGGAATCATGGCTAGGTGGCAATTTTAGGACTTCTGCAAAGAAAACCCGAGAAACAATGAAGAATTCAGACGCACAGTAGAAAAGATGATTACTGCAGAGGAGAAGACACGAGAAAGGTTCCCAGATAGAAACAACCGAGACAACCGAGACAAGCAAAATCATCGGAACATCAGACATCAGGAA